AAATAAATAAATAAATAAATAAGGCATAGCAGAGAATCAAACCCCCAATAAGATATTTAACCTGCTGAAGTATCCAGCAGTTCTTTGAATACTGTTGTCTTCTAATTACCATCAAAATGTTTTATATCATGGCTACTGATCTCCACTCATCTGAATTAGTCTCTATTCCCATTAATGCCTAACAGGAAATATGCATTTTCTCTTACATTTACTGGTGTACCTCATAACAATTTGAAAGCAAAACCCACTAACATTAATTTAATTTGTACAGGCAGTGTTCACTGAGGACTTAAAGAGAAGGCAAGATACATTCATTAGATCACTTTTAAAAAATCACAAACAGAAGTGAGTTTTCACACACACAACCCATGGGTTTTCATCAAGCTGGGCACCAAAGACTTGGAGATGGTACTGTGTATCATTGCTTTTGAACTGTGCACATAGACCACACTATTTTTCCCCTCTTTAGAGTAATGAAAGGGATTGGCAACCTTTACTTCTGCCTTTAGAAAGTGAATAACAAGTGATATGTCAACAAACAGTCACTGCCCCCCAATGTGGGACAGGTTACACCTCTAGAATGATAAGCTATGGGAGTCCTGTGAAAGAAAATTAAAATTCTTACTCTGTCTGCAGATAAGAAGTTGTCTTCTGGCCAAACAAACTCAGAATCTAGACATGCTCAGGAAGCCATTTTATTTATTTATTTATGGAAACTGTATACCAACCAATTTAGTGAACCACTACTCTGGGTGGTTCATGCACTTAAAAACATATTTTCACTGCATATGGTTCACATCCATAATAAGTAATGTTTTACTAGCCTGTTTGCTTCTACTTAGCATCCAGAGCAGCAATATAATGAAGCAAAAATTAAGCTATTTTCAGATGTTGCAACAGATGATAGCACATCAAAATATTGCAACACCTTAAAGACTAACTCCTATATTTTAAAGTGAGCTTTTGTGGACAAGTTCACTTCCTCAGATTTACGAGTGGGACTGCATGCTATACTGTATTTCCTTACTAACCAGTGCAACCTTGCAAGCCCCATCAGATTATGTTACTCATATGTTGTTCTTTTGTTTTATCTACAGTTTGGGATTAATTAAACCACCAATCATTGTCACTGTTTACCAAACAATGCTTCCTGGGAGGAGAAATGAGTATCAACAGGGGTCATAATGATAATTGCCAGCGTGAAATGCCACACAAGCAACTACTTGTGCCCAAGAAATAAACAGTCTCTTTGTTTTGGGACCATGTATAACTGTATAAATATTTGCTATGCAGGCCCATTCTTCACTCTGAGCAAATGGACTTGTCCGCAAAAGCTCACAGTAAAATATAGCAGTTAGTTTTTTAGATGCCACAGTGTTCTTGCCTTCTTTACTTTTTAGTTTTCTTTTGGTTTTGCTTGATATACTTCCCTGAAAATAAGACAGGTTCTTAAATTATTTTTTCTCCAAAAACATATTAGGGCTTATTTTCAGGGGATGTTTTTTTTTCATGTAAACAATCTACATTTATTCAAATACAGTGATGTCATCATCTTCTGGTTGCTGCACAATGATGGAGGGTGGGGTTTCACTTAACTGGGGCTTATTTTGGGGGTAGGGCTTATATTACGAGCATCCTAAAAAACCTACTAAGGCTTGTTTTCAGGTTAGGTCTTATTTTCAGGGAAACAGGGTAGCACTGACTAATATGGCTACCTTTTCTAAAACTAGATCGGAATAAATATGATTGAAGTAATTAAAAAAAAACCAAGTGAATTAAATGCTATATATAAGGCTGATGTACCCGTTTGAGCGGGCACTCATAAAAGGAACTCCTAGAAGATCAACTGATGCCATCTCCTTTCTCCTTTTCTCCAAAGGGCCAAGTGACTTACCTGGCAGAAGTCAGGGTTAAGTAGCAGAGACAGTGGGTCCTCTTGAGGCTCAAGGAGAAGATAATTTCCTACCAGTGATTGATCTAGCACTGTTCACATCATTGTCTCTAGGAATTCTGGGATGATAGCCCCAGATCTATCTACAGTGGGGAATAAACATTCAACAGAGCTACCAGAAGTGCCTACCATGCCCTGTACTAGGTATGTTACTAGAACCTTTATGGACAAAAGAAGGGTGCCATGCAGGAGTGTGCTTTGCAAAGCATTATTTTAACGTTGCGAAGTACAGTATGTTCTCCAAGCATTCCCCATTTTTCTTGTTTGATTAAATTATTAAAAAAAACCCAACAACAAACCCAACCCTCAAGGTAAGCAGAATACTCATGAACCCCCTACCCTAATTATAACAGAAACAGCCTTCCACAAAGAAATAATTAAACCGATAAAGACTTACAAAGCAAGTCAGTGCCAAAATGATGCTGAGCAACATGTTCAAAAATGGATGTTAAAATAGGCAGCAATGCCACTGTTGTGTAGTTGATATTTTGCGAGACCCCTTTAATTTGTGTACGAGAATGAGTAAATTTTCCAAGTTTAAGATTTTCTGATGTCTTCTCTAGGTCTTCAGCTGCATTTTCAAAGAAGGCACGCAGTCCTGCTTTAACTAGTTCTGAGCCAGATTTCATAACAGTTCTAAAAGACAATTTAAAAATCTTACTTGGAAATCAAATAGTTACATAATAAATTTAATCTTATACAATTATTTTTGCATAGTTTTCTATGTTATTCACATATCACATTTCAGACATTAAAACTTTTTATATGTATGACAAAAACAAACAAAACTCAGCATTTTAAAAACTTTCCACATTTTGCATAGGTTCTACGATCAGTCTACTGCCCACATCAGCTTTGGATAGGTATCTCCAAATTTTCAGAAACTGACAAACCCAAAGTCAGCAGAAATTATGGTTACGGTTCTTATTGTATCAGAAATCCTGCATCTGGGTTATGGCAGTTGGCACTTCATATACCTAATATTCCTCCAAGGATTGCAAACTAGGAGTAAGAAATTTCTCTAGAATAGGGGGCCGCATTGCCACACCTTCAGTTCACTGTGTGAGGGTTCAACTTTAGCCTCAGGCTGCTTAGTCACAAACACAGATGGCTCATCTTTTGCAAAATCAGAACGGGGATTTATTTGAACATTAAACAACGAACTGTCAACATTAAACTTGTTTGTAGCTTTGTCTCTCGCCGCCAACTAGTCAAACGAGGGTGTCCATAAATCTTGAAGAAAAGGATTATAACCTGATTCATACCAGGGACCTTTAACAAAGGGGTTAGTGTCCTCATGGTCCCAATTGTCCGCACCAGTATCTATCAGGGGAAGGGTCTCCTTGTCTCTTCCCTCCAGGTCGAAGGGGTCGGCTCCCTCCATGTAGGAGTCCCAGGATCCGGTAAGTACCTCCTCCGGTGAGCCTCCTCCAGACGCCATGCCCGTCTCTCTTGCTCTTCCCTCTCAACTGCTTCCTTCTCCTCTCTTAAACGCCCCCGCCACTCTCTAGCCTCTGATTCTCCCCAATAAGAGGGTCTTTGAGGTAGACCACAACTCCTTCTGTAATCTGCCTCCTCCCGAGGCACTCTTACTTTCTCATATTTACCAGTCCAGGGATCTTCAATCCATATTAACTCCCAATCCCCAGGTATGGCATCTCGTTCCCTTTTTAACTCCCCATTTCCCACCTCCACTAACGGTCTTCCTCTCTCCTCAGTTCCCGCCTTTTCCGACCCTCTTTGGGTAGCCACTGAGAGACTCCTCATACCCCGTTCTAGATCCTGGGTGTCTACTCCCTGGTGTATTGTCACGACGCGGGGAGTTGTAGTCTCTGTCTGGGTCTCCTGCTCCTTCCTAGGTGAGGACGACACTCCGGCAAGAGCTTCAGTCGCCTCACCTCTGGTCTCACACACTGGAAGCCACAAGAGCAAGGATTCCTTGTTGTGTCTGGCTACATAGCAGGAGCAAGAAATAATGCATTTTCCTCACTTCACACTTCTCTTTCTCATTGAACCAAAGTATTTGGGAAGCCTTCTTTGTGATCCACTTGGCACTTCTACGAGACATCTGGGAACTCTGTCCCCTCAAAAGTGGAGGTCTTCCTCACATCCTTTGGTTTAATGCCAAAGAAGCTAGTTTAAAGAAAATCTGTGGAGGTATTGCCACTGCTGTGCCACTGTGAGGCAGCAAGAGAACCTTGAGAACATGTGGGGGGAGATACAAAAGCAGCTAGGAATGCATTCAGCCCATGGCCTATGTGCTGATCATCTTTACCGTAAAATCTCTTAACAGAAAACATGATATTGCAAAGAAATGTTCAAACCTGTTATCCTTACATATAGCATTTTACATTAGGGAGGAAATCTGTAAGAAGATAACTGGAAAAAATCCTGTAGTGATTTACAGGGGAAATAGAACAGGTCAGCAGATTAGGTAACTTACCTTGTATCTATTGTCTGAGCTAAGATGTGTAGACAGCTAACCATTGTAGTAGCATCACTACCTGGTTAAAATGAAAGAAAAGAATATACTTTGTTGTCTAAAAAGTTCTTCAAAATTAGAATCTGTAAGAAGATAACTGGAAAAAATCCTGTAGTGATTTACAGGGGAAATAGAACAGGTCAGCAGATTAGGTAACTTACCTTGTATCTATTGTCTGAGCTAAGATGTGTAGACAGCTAACCATTGTAGTAGCATCACTACCTGGTTAAAATGAAAGAAAAGAATATACTTTGTTGTCTAAAAAGTTCTTCAAAATTAGATTTTTAAAACCATTGTAGTAGCATCACTACCTGGTTAAGATGAAAGAAAAGAATATACTTTTTTATCTAAAAAGTTCTTCAAAATTAGATTTTTTTAAATGAAGAGTATCTAGAAAATGATGTAAGTTCTTCAAAATTAAATTTTTAAAATGAAGAGTATCTAGAAAATGATGTCTGTTGGATTTTATTTTCTTCTTCTCACTTTACCCATTAGATTAATGGATATATAATCATTAGGTTAATAGATAAAGCACAGCATCCAAGTAAAAAAGGTTAAGAACCACTGGGTTAATAGATAAAGCATAGAATCTGCTCCAAAATAAACCATTCTGCTTCCAATTTATTTATTCCTTCCTATCCCTAATTTATTCTGAGTTCTTTATTTAGAGATTACACAGAATGAAATGTTGGATACTCACCATGAAAATATCTTCTGGGGAAATCCAATTATTATAGATTATGAACTTCATCACCCAGTGAACCAGCAGTCATATGATACAGTCAACTATTTTACCTGACAGTACCTCAATTCCCCCTTTAATTTTTATTGTACAGCCAAGCAGTGAAACAAAATTGTAGTTGAAGAAAAATAATTACAAAAACAATATAGGAGAAATAACAGTTGCTTATCTAAAACTGATAATTGAATGCTACCATTAAAAAAGGCTGGATGTGTGGTTTTCCTTTGTGCCTCCCCAGAATGGACTTTCACAGCATGTAGCCAGAGTTCCATTCCCTAGTTAGTGTAGATGAATACAGTCATTGTGGGACACACACATGATCTGATGACTTTATTTATGTGACTACTCTGAAAGTCATGTAGAAATTGTATCTAGGGGCATGCATCTGTCAAAAATTGCATCTGAACATTATAGAAATTGTATCTAGGGGCATGCATCTGCCAAAAATTGCATCTGAACATTAGTCTATTTTGTAATGCCAAATGAAAGCTATTTTTGAAAAAGCCACTGATGCTGCCATTGATCCAGTTTAATTAATTGTTAGATTCTTGAAAATGTGATGCTTTAGCTTGATATGCTTTAGTTTATGCATATCTTGATCTACCATACTAAAGTTGATCAAAACAATTTGTGCTGTGAAAAAGTTCACAAAACAGAAATAATGGCTGGACTTTAGAAGTGAGTTGCAACCAGAGTAGGCTGGTTGCAACTCTGGTAAGTCAAAATCTATTTAAATTAAATGGATTCAAAGGGCCTGTTCGGCTTATGACTTGCAATGAAGCCAACTTTGTCATATCTTGATCTACCATACTAAAGTTGATCAAAACAATTTGTGCTGTGAAAAAGTTCACAAAACAGAAATAATGGCTGGACTCTAGTAAGTTGCAACCAGAGTAGGCCCACTGAATCAATGAAGATCTGGTAAGTCAAAATCTATTTAAATTGAATGGATTCAAAGGGCCTGTTCGGCTTGTGACTTGCAATGAAGTATATCCAACTTTGTGAATGATATAGCTCAAGAGGTGTACACTTTAAATGCCCACTTGACAAACAAACTGTGCCATAATTTTCCTTCTGTACGAAAAAGTTTTGGATAAAAAAGTAAAGCAAAGTATCTGGTAAGTCAAAATCTATTTAAATTGAATGGATTCAAAGGGCCTGTTCGGCTTGTGACTTGCAATGAAGTATATCCAACTTTGTGAATGATATAGCTCAAGAGGTGTACACTTTAAATGCCCACTTGACAAGCAAACTGTGCCATAATTTTCCTTCTTAGCGTCTTAGCTCAGCATGGAACCTGTATCAAGTCCCAGTCTGGAAATTGCTGCTTGCCTGTTAAGTGTGTTAGGTATTAGTACCATATCCAGAGCAGACTGAAGAGAAGATAATAGGTGAGAACAGCAGTTTAACCACTGTGCCACGAGGAATGACATACACCTCTTGAGGCACATGAAAGGCTGACATGAAGGGAAATTAATAGGTGAAATAAAGATGTAAAACAAATGCTCAGTGTTCTTTTTCATATATCAGTAAACAAAAGCTTTCTTGGTAGCCCCTTAAATTCTTGAAGCAGATGGATGCCTGGAGGATAATAATGTATTTATTACTACAATTTTGTAATGCAGATCTTTCATTGTAGTTGTTTAGTCATTAAGTTGTGTCTGACTCTTCATGACCACATGGACCATAGCACGCCAGGCCCTCCTGTCTTCTACTGCCCCCTGGAGTTTGGTCAAAGTCATGTTGGTAGCTTCAATGACACTGTCCAGCCATCTCCTCTTGCCTTCACAAGATCTTTCATTATTTAACTCTTAACTATCTGGTGGTTAGGCAGAGACAGCCTGGATCTGGATGTAGAGTGGGCTACTGTGGCAGCAAATCGGAAAAGGAAGCAATATTAGCAGTGGGGGCTTGATTGATTGCTGTATCTCTGACAACACTGAATGCCTGGGTAAAAATGTAACACCTCATGCAAGTATTGTTGCTTCACTCTGAAAAACACCCAGAGAGAGAAGAGGAAGCAGTGGGAACATAAATAGAATACCCAGTTGTTGTTATCTACTGTGAAGTCACCTCTGACATATGACAACCTTATGAATGTGTGACTTTCAAAATGCACTGCCATTAATAACACTGCACAGTTCTTGTCAGTTCAAAAGCTATAGTTTCCTTTCTTGAGTCCACTGATCTGATGTTCATTTTTTCTTTCTTCCTACTGCCTTCTAGCACTATTGTCTTTTTCATTAAGTCTTGCCTTCTCAATGTGCTCAAAATATGACAATCTCAGTTTAGTTGTTTTTCTTCTAGGGACTGTTCAGCTTTAATTTGGTCTTAGATCCACTTGTCGGTCTTTCTGACAGTCCTTGGTATCTCCACAGCTCTTTTCCAACACCATATTTTGAATGATTTTTTTTCCTGTCCTCTTTCCGCACTATCAAACTTTCACATCCCTGCATAGTAATTGATGACCTTGGTATTGGCCTCCAGTAACACATCTATACATTTGACAATCTTTTCTCATTCCTCATTCCCTTTAAGTCTCAGTTTTCTTCTGATTTCTTGGTTGCAGTCTCTGTATGAAGTAATTATTGAACCAAGACATACAAGGTATACAAAATCTTTAACCATTTCATCCATTTCTTCATTGTTAATATTAAAGTTAAGGCATTTCTTCTCTAGTCAGGATTTTTGTCTTCTTAATGTTCTTCTCCCGCAGGCCCACTTTTGCACTTTCTTTTTTCACAGAAATTGTCTCAAGTCTTTCATTCACATGGCATCAGATCTTAGATTATTGATGTTTCTTCTTACAGTTTTTACTCGTCTTTCATATTTATCTAATCCAGCTTTCCAAATGATATATTCTGCATACAACCTGAACAAATGGAGAAATAAAATACACCCTTGTTTGGCACTTTTGTCTATGAGAAATCATTCTGTTTTCCCACTGGTAAAGTCATTCCACTGAGAGCAATTTTCAGAAGTTAGAGACTTCCTCCATGCTGCAGCCCTCAATGGCTTCCCAATGATGAAAAGGATTCCATGGGAGATTCAATAAGAATCAGAAATGTTTAATTTCACAAATATCATAATGACGAATGACATCATGAACCTTATGTAGCATAACAGAGTAGTTGCTTTCAGTTATAGTGTAATGGTCTAAATATTTCTATGTCTGAGTTGCAGTCCAAAAACACCTGAGTAACCCAAGGTTAAGAACCACTGGTCTAAATATTTCTATGTCCGTTCCTCTAGTGTAGCTCTGCTGGAGGTGGAAGAATGAATTGTTTAAGGTATGACATTTCTGTTCAGCTGAATACTCTCCCTCAGTACCAGAAGATTGATATATTTCTTGGACTACTTCCTCACTCTTCTGATCCATTAAAAACTCCAAAGCATGCACAATGGAAATGGAGAGTTAAATATAATCTTTTGATTTCCCCCATCTGCTGACTCTACTGTTGGACCACCTGGCAGATCACACTAGAGAATGAAGAAACAGGTGCAGTAAGAGATGCAAAGATGCACCAGTACTTCAAATGAACAATTCATCTGGCTGGTTCAAAATGGCTGGCAGCAAAGAAGAGGAATATGCTTCTGCAACTGTAATGGCAGATGCTGATGAATCTTGAGATCCATATTTAAATTCAGCAATTTTATTACCTCCTCCATTCTCTGTGTTTAAATGCTCCCTATTCTGTTACTAAACTACCAGCAGTGCTTCCCAACCTTGGGTTCACAAACTTTCTTGGACCAGAAGGCCCAGAAATCCTGGCCAGCACAGCTAGTGGTGAAGGCTTCCATGGTTTTAGTCCAAGAACATATGGAGACCCAAGGTTGGGAACCATTGTGTAGAACAACAGATGATACACAGTTAAAGTGTTCTCAGATGTGCCAGCCACATTTCTAACAATCTGACATTCCCCCACTCTTTAGGTTTTACTATTTAATTCTTACTCTACTAATATTAGAACAGAACAAGCAATTGGTAAACCATGATTTTAGAGAAAGGTAAGAAGTCTGGTGATTTTTAAAAATTGAATAATGACTGAGAACTAAGGGAAAAGCAGATATGAAAGACCTACGTAAGTAAAAAATGGAAAGAAAAAATACTGTTGGGTGAGCCCAACCAGTAATCTAAGGAGGAACTTGGTGCAGGCAGTAGAAAGAAACTGAAAGGGGGAGTTGGACAAATATCAATTAAAACATTTCATTCTACCGTTAAACTCCTGGCTCTCTGTGTGTAGCGAGACACATAACCACCAATCACTGGATTCCTTCCCTATATGCCACACATAGAATGGAGAAAATATTATCTAGAATATCCAGGGGAAAAAAATGACACAATATTAGAAGTGGGTGTCAGCTTCTGGCCCACACCTATTTAAGGAGTGGTTATCCCTCCCAGAACTTGCCTCAGCAACAAAGTTCTTTGGTCCTGCTGTGGTGTGCCTTGCTGCTCCTGAGCACTGGAGTCCCTGTGCACCTGCACCTTCTCCTGCCTTGGTCCCTGCTCTTGCCTCTGCTTGCCTCTGGCATCTCTAGGTCTGGATCCCAGTGTTCCTGCACCTGTTCCTGTCCCTTCCTTGGTCCCTGCTTGCTTCTACTGGTCTTCTGCATCTCAGCGCCTTGTTCCGGCTCCATGTTCCCGGTTCTGCGACCTGGCTCCCAGCCCAGGGCTCCCACCTCCGCTTGGTCACAGCCAGCTGTGGAGCGTCTTTGGGCTCAATACCCTGTATGGCAGACTGGGTCCTGGTACCCTTGTCCATGGCGAAAGACTGCCTGTGATATCTCTGACTTTTGACAGTGGGTAGGATCAAAAGGATGCATTCTTTAGGGTCTCCTTCCTAACAATTTCCACTAGCAATTGAAAGTGGCAGCAAGAGAAAAAATGATTGGGATTGGACCTTACTTTTCTTTCTTTACAGCTCTGGATTTCTTCTAACCCAGTAAAAAACTACAAAGATCCTTCCATAGCATTTGTATTCTGCTTTCAGATGGCTCCCATATCTTTCATTTCTCCTTTACACCTGCAGAAGATCCTTATTAATGAATAGCCATGGTCCCTGTTTCACATTCCGAAAGCATTTCGGACTACAGTATAGTTTTGGAAGCAACATATTCAGTTTCTCCAGTTGCTGGGATGACACAGCCACCTAGCGTTTCCACAGTTATACTGCTGCTTTCTCTGGACTGCTTTTACCTTCTTCAAGCTCTCAAGCAAATACAAGCCCTCTTCCTGCATTTTACAGCTTCTGTGACCTGGGATAGCTCCCAACTCCCCATCATAATATACTCAAGGATTACGTAATCATTTATAGAGTAATTTTGTACTTTTGTTAATTTTCAATATGACTAAATCTGCAGATTTCATTATGACATTTCAACACTTCTGAAATTTACAGTTAGATTTTATATTTTTTAAAATGCGGAACAATTTTTTCTGCCTTGCTTGTTCCCAGCATGCCTACTTGCTATTCCACTTAGGTTTGGTGAAAACTAAAATCATCATATTACCTAGTACTGTCTCATTAGAATCATTCTTTGTCACATCACAACACATGACTTCAATATCATGTCAAGCTTTTGAATATCAAACTTAGACTTCTAAACTCTTCCTTTCACCCACTTTTTGAAACATTGTGCCAAACAAAAAGATCTGGAAATCTTGAAAGCTAGTAATGTTCTTGTGCTCTTTTATTTAGCATAATAAAGATATTATGGCAGTAAGGATTTTGGAATTCTTTTAGTGAAAATTGCTAGGCCAGCAAACAAATGCATAAAATGGGCTATTGTAACTGCAACATCATAAAGCTAGATATTTTTGTCAGTAGCATGAAGATGTTACAGTACGGACTGGTTAGAATGCTAAAGGGATTATGCACAAATGCTACTGAAGAGACTTCAAACAGCTTTTAGGGATGCCGTGATGGGTTGTTTATTTATTTCACAGTAAATGAAAACATGTTTCTGGAGATAATGGAATTTTATTTACATGAAATTTATTTATTTATTTTATTTATTTATTTATTTGATTTGTATCCCGCCCATCTGGTCAAAAAGACCACTCTGAGCAGCTGTAGTAACTATAGGTATACTATATATCTGTAGTAACTATAGATACACACAAATTAAAATTTTAATGCAATTGTAATGCAAAAAATAAAGTTTTATTTAATTTTTTAAAAAATAATATAATTATTAAGTATCATTACTAGAGACCAACCTCAAACTCTGATTTAAATTCTACAGTGTAATTTGTGTCTTGGCACCATCTTGTCCTAAGCATGTGGATTACTGGCCCCTACTAATTTGTCTAAATATGTTATTGATAACACTGACATCCAGAAGCATTAAGGAATATTTTACAATAGAAAAGGTAACAGTATTGAGGAAAGTTGTTGCAAAAAGAGCCAATAAAAACAAAAGGGTGCACAAGTTACAACAGAAGCAGAGAGTGCAAGGGTACTTTGGTCTAAAGGACAGTTTGGGGGAGTCTTCATTCTTGAAAACGTAAGTAAAAGTGAGTCCACCCATTTCATTACAAAATTAAAAGACTGAACAGTTTTTATTAAAACAGTTTGTGTTGTTAACTTAATCAAAATCATTCATAACTTACCAAAAAGTGAAATCCTATGTCTAACAAGAGCAGCAAGTTTGCAGAAAAGGCTAAAGCAGAGGAGAATCCAAAACAGTAGGAATAATAATAGAGACAGATTAAAGTTTTGTTTAGATAATGAATACAACAGCATGGAGCAACTTTGAGAATAGCAGACGTGAAACAAAGGAACAAAGTGTGTTTGAATTAATCAGAAAGTTACTTTTAGTAATAACTGCATTTTGAGACAGAACTATAAAGTATATTTTAATATTTAGGGGAAGTAAACATGGATCTCGAAGAGTCAGAAACAACTAAATGACTAAACAACAACAACAAACATGGATCTAAAGAAACGGCAATTTTATTGAATAAGCAAACTCTGTGCCCTTTATATTTTATGTAATTAAATCACTCTGTAAATTCTGTTTGTTTGTTAAAGATACAAAACTAAAGTAACTGGGTTGATCTGAAGTATATGGAAAAACCTGTAACTATATTTTAGTTAATTTTGAATAGATCTTAAACCAGTGGTGGCGAACTTGTTTGGGCTTGCGTGCCCAAACTGGAAAAAACCCCCACAAAAAACAGCAGGTGGTTTACCACCACCACCGCAGAACTGGAAGTGGCAGCAGAAGGGGGTATCCCGGCACGGAGATGCCTCGAGACCACATTCTGGATCCACCACCAGCACCAGCTGCTCCGGATCCACCTGCCAAAGCGCCAGCACCGTGGCTGCAGCTGCCTTCTCAGGTTTGGCTGCACGGGGGGACAGAGGAGCAATCTGGCGACTTGTGGCTCGCGTGCCGGCAGAAAGGGCTCCGCATGCCAGCTGTGGCACGTGTGCCATAGGTCCCCCATCGCTGTCTTAAACCATGTAACGGTTTTGCTCCCAGCTGTGGCACGCGTGCCATAGGTTCGCGATCGCTGTCTAAAACCAAGTAACAGTTTTGCTTTGTTAAAACATTGCAAGACTACCAAGATCGGACAAGAAAATAGTCACTTATTTATCTATTTATTTATTTTAATATGCATATCAGCTTTTCGCCCAAAAGGTACCCAAGGCTATTTCATTATTTTTTACAAACCAAATAGTGAGCAAACAAAAATAAAGATGGGTAATAAAATAATTAGAAGTCAATGGAAAGAAACATTTGACTTATTCATACGTATTCTTTTTTTTTTTTTCACAGAAAGGAGAACATCCTTTGATGGTTGACTCCTCTCATGCTTTCCAGTTTACCAGAAGCTCTGAAATCTCAGCTAGATGGAGAAATCCTCTTAGATTTGAAGGGTTTCATGGGTGGGAAATAAAATATGAACAAACAAAGGAAAATTGCCTTTACAATTTAATAATACTGCTGCAGCTTGGGACTCTTATCACAACAGAATGTCATTTCAATATTCTAGTGCAGATTCTGCTGTGGATCTTTCATGAGTATCTCTCCTTTTTATGACCAATAAAGAAATCCAATGTTTTTCTAAGCTTTAGTTCAGTGGGATGTGAAGCTGCAGAACCCATCAAAGATAGGGAATACCTCTAAATAATAGCTGTTACACCACCTGAATATGACTTTTTTTTAAAAAAAATGGTGATGTGAAAGATATCTACCTAATAATGCCGAATATGACCAATAAAGAATCCAATGTTTTTCTAAGCTTTAGGTCAGTGGGATGTGAAGCTGCAGAACCCATCAAAGATAGGGAATACCTCTAAGTAGCTGTTACACCACCTGAATATGACCTTTTTTAAAAAAAAAATGGCGATGTGAAAGATATCTACCTAATAATGCCAGAGGAATGGACCTGCTCTTCAGGTATGACACAATGGTGCATTAGTAATCAGTGGCCAAACCCTATTGATGTTCACATAAGGTTGGTGTTAACTTGCTGTGACTAATTGTTGAGATGCTGAGGTGTGTCTCACTCATACGCTTGGTCATACACCCAATTGCACAACCAAAACGTGTCCCTATGCCTCCCCAGATAACTGCAATTAGATGGAACAACTGCACAAACTTTGCATGAACACCAATAGTATTCCAGCCAATGGGGAAATTTCTGTTGGCAAAACGTTATGCTGGTGTAATCCAGATTGAGCGTCGGTCTCACTCATACGCTTGGTCATACACCCAATTGCACAACCAAAACGTGTCCCTATGCCTCCCCAGATAACTGCAATTAGATGGAACAACTGCACAAACTTTGCATGAACACCAATAGTATTCCAGCCAATGGGGAAATTTCTGTTGGCAAAACGTTATGCTGATGTAATCCAGATTGAGCGTTGGAAACATTTAATTTGAACCTAACCTCTGAGGAAGTTTCCTGACTCAGCACCCTTTTCTGTTTTCAAGGCTCTCCAGGGCTCACTTTTGTCCTAGGAAAAAGCCTTTAATAGTAAAAACAATTGTAATCAGATTGCTACAGTTCCAATCCTGGTGACAGCAACTTTTTACTTTTAAAGTCTTCTCCTGCCTCATCCCAAGACTTCCTTGGGGCAAAAGGACACCCAATAGAGCCCGAAAAGCAGAGGGGACGGAGGGGGGAGGGGATTTCCATGTCTTTCAGTGTCTGATTTGAATTACCCCAGCTTAAAATTACACAATAGGATTCTGCCCAATGTCACTTTAGTGGCCATGCTCAAGATCTGCCCTGGTTGGCTGGTTTCTTGTCCTCTCATTAGTACATCTGTGGTATACAATCCCTTATCCATAAACTTAAGACTGATTTGAAAATCCTTTTCTTTCAATTGTATGTCACAGTCTTCCAAATGGCTGTCTGCTGAATTTAGTATTTCTCCTACTACTACAAAAGGCATCCCACTCTATTGCTATGCCAGAAGAATCTACTTATTCTATTAAAAAAAATCATCTTCACAGATGAGCTGAAGTGTGTATACATGGGCCTCAAGCTGTTGTACCTTTCCTTTTAGAAAGGCAATCAGCTTGCATGTAGTGCACATTGTATATCCTCTGGTAGGGAAACATGTTGCAAGTATTTCACCATTACTCATGTCTCTTAGTCTATGCTGGCAATGGTACAACATCCCAGACCTCTCCAAACATAAGCAAAGCTCCAACAGCTTTAAAAAAATCATACACCTCAAACAGTGTCTTGAGTACGTAATACAAGTGCAGTCTCTGATGCTTCTGCACTATCCCAGCAGTATGGAATATATTTTGAATATTCTTTCTAGAACCATGATACTCACACTCTTTCAAGATGATTCTATCAAAATCTGTAATAGAAACTGAATGAACTGACAGTATAGCCCTGCTAGTCCCTAGGCTTATATTGGCTTTCTATAGAGGAACAATAGTCTGGCTCTGACAACATTATTATCCAAGGCACAGAGTATTTAAAAAGATTTGCAGAAAAATGGTTTGGATGAGAAATCAAGCCCTACATCCTTTTTCTTACTTTCTTCAGACTCTAAGGAGAATTCTCTAGCTTGCGGTCTTCAGCAAAACCATCTTGGCAGTCTCAGTAAAGAATGGTTGTTGTCGGTTTTCCAGGCTGTTTGGTCATGTTATTAAGGTTTTTCTTCCTAAAGTTTCGCCAGTCTCTGTGGCCGGCATCTTCAGAGGACAGGAGTCAGAACCAGAGCACAGACAGAGTACTGACTCCTGTCCTCTGAAGATGCCGGCCACAGAGACTGGTGAAACGTTAGGAAGAAAAACCTTAAGAACACAGCTAAACAGCCCTGAAAACCCATAACAATCATTGTATCCTGGCTGTGAAAGCTTTCGAGAATACATTAATTAAAGAATCTTTTACCACAACTCTCCTACTGAAGAACTTAAAATACAAAAAGAAATATGGACACTTTGGTCCAGTAAGGAGCAGTGGGACCAATTTGGTTGGCGTTGACATTTTGGCTTCAAAATTGAGCTGGCTTGATCCAGTCATGAAGGTGGATGTTGGGAGTTGTCTGAGCCCATAATTGAAGGGGAGGTGGTATTGAAGAGTTGTGGTAAAAGATTAGCATTTTTAAAGAAAGGCCCTGGAGTTGATTTCGAATGTTGCTCCAAGAACCCACCGCCTCCAGTGATTTTTCCCAAAGACAAAACTTCAAGGAAGAAATCCCTCACTCAAATGGTCCTTAATTTCTTTTTTAAATACTACATTTGCAAATCTCCTACAAACAGAAAACAGAGGGATTTTTTTTTCAGGGCACAGAAGAATACAAAGAAAAGTGATGAATGAAGAAGAGGAGGGTAGGGTATTCACTATTTTAGAAAGGGGAATAAAGCTCTGAAGTGCTCTCACATGTGCTGCTTGAACAGAGGACAGAAGATGACTGAGGGAATTGTTAGCAACAGTTAAGCTTGTGTGCTAGGGTGAGGAACTGGTATTTTTCTCTTAAGGTTATTCAGCTCTGGAAGGTTCCACTGATGTTCTATACATCTACAAAACCCATGTGTTTGAGCCACAGAGAACATGAAGAACTATCCAGAGGTTTTATCATCCTCTGTGGCATAACCTAAGTCAATAAACCTCAGGAAAAAATCAGTCTGTCTTGTGCAGGAAAATTTCCAAGCTCTAAGTTTTAGTTGTTGTGAACCACCTTGGGTACCCAAGGGGAGAAGGTCAGAATACTAAACAAACAAACAAACAAACAAACAAATTCATTTTTATGGATGTGCATGATAAAGACTTTGGCAGGGTTTATTTGTCTTGTTTTGTGTCTGGTTCTTTTAGAGGGGAAACTCTTTCATTTTCATGTTTTTTGTGCTCCTGTTCTTTTGATTAACATGAAACAGACCGCCTCATTGTGGTAATTTAATTTTGGGTTTCTCCATTCACGTGTTCTGATGCTAATCCAAAAAAACTCTTCAAAAGTTGTAAAAACTACCCTGCAAAATACAGAGGCAATATAATAGAGAATCAGTCTACTCTAAACCAGGTATTAATATAACCAACCACTACCACCAAACAAAAGTCATCTCCACAATATATAATCCCACCACTAATATATACTCCTTTAACTGCATAAATGTATAGAATATAACCAACCACTACCACCAAACAAAACAGTCATCCCCACAAAATATAATCCCACCACTAATATATATGTCTTTAACTGAATAAATGTATAGTAAGTAAAGAGAAAGGTTCCCCTTGACAATTTGTCCAGTCATGTCCAACTCTAAGGGGCGGTGCTCATCCCCGTTTCCAAGCCATAGAGCCAGCATTTGTCTGTAGACAGTTTCTGTGGCCACGTGGCCAGTGTGACTAGACATGGAATGCGGTTACCTTCCCACCATAGTAGTACCTATTTATCTACTCGCATTTTTACATGCTTTCGAACTGCTAGGTTGGCAGGAGCTGGGACAAGCAACAGGAGCTCACTCTGGCGTGAGAATTTGAACTGCTGATCTTTCGACCTTGCAGCCCAGAGGCTTTTTGCGGTTTAACCCACAGTGCCACCACATCTCCTAAATGCACAGTAAATTAACCAATAAAGCAATTGAACAGGGCAAGTACTCCATTCCTCCCCACTTCAGTCAGGATTAAAACAGGAAAAACATACAAGCAGCACCCTCTCCCAGCCCGCCCAAAAGAAAACAAGCAAATAAAGGCAAAAAATACAATCATAGCTCTCTCACAAACCAAAAGGACTAGACTATGGGGAGATCTCTCTCCCTCCTACCGCTTGATACCTTCTCTTGAATTTCTTTTCTTCTATAAGCCAAGCGCAACAGCAGGCAGCAAAAATAATCCAAGAAAAGAAAGAAAGAAAAATCAAGGACGTGGGGGGATAGAATGCCAAAAACAATCCCTAGAAGCCAAGCTACCACAAACAAACTACCTAGTGGCAGCAGCACAAACAGTCCAGCTAGAAGGTAAACATTCAGCCAAAAAATCAAGCAAAAAAGGCAAAAAAGAGGAAAGGGTCCAAGATAGAGACACAGAGGCAGGCACTAGGTAGGCAAGCAGAGAGCGCAACATGTAGGCTGCTAGAAGCACACTCAAAAGGCACAAGTGAAAAAAAGAAAGAGTACTGCCTCTAGGTTCCAATCAATCCAGGCCCTTTTAGAGATTCAAAATTCCCTGTTTCCCTTTCCTGGACATCCTATTAGCTGCTGATAGCAGCCCTCATTATGCTAATAAATAAAATATTTTCTAGGCCATTTGATAGATAAGGAGTGAAAGAAAGGTTAAATGAAAGAGGAGAACACAAAAGAATACAAATTTTTTGCATCCCCCTTTTCATTTATATGAATCATCCATGTTTATGAAGTTGTCTTTCTGGAATCAATGAAAGAACACAAAAATGGAAAAAAGAGTCTCCTATTTTTCTCTTTTTGCAAAAACATGACAGTCCTATCCCTGTTGATTCCCACCCACTCCTGCCCCAACAACAGCTGACAATAGCTGATCTGGAACAGCCATGTTGCACTGTCAGCCTAGAGCTGTCAATTTCTTGTTTCATTGTATGCCTGGCTTCTTCAACCTCTCTTCAACAGTGAATGTCACAAAACATTGACTAAGAAAAGAATGAATTCCCACACACCTAATTAGATAAAGCACTAAGAGCGACAGCAAACAGCACATTATTACCCTTATGTGAGGAAGGGCAACAATTGAGAGGGGTCTCCTTCTAGAGGAGACACCAAAAACCTTTGGAACACCATCTTCCTGGAACAGATGGCAGGAGTAACCTTTTGAAGGACATCCTCCTTCCATAACAGGAAAAAAAACCCATAAGCAATAATGGGAATCTAAAGAATATATCTTATAAGATAGGCTTGATCAGCATTGCAGTAGACTTACAAACTCACTATATAAGAAAGTAAAATTACATTTGACATACTGTAATATTGGAATAATATCTAATAATGGTTATTATTACTGAACACTAAACTAAATCAAAATATCTTGCAAGAAAGAACATAATATATATTTTGAGCTCTAGGCCAGTACTGAAAGTCAATTATACTAAAAGATGTTTTTTTAGAAATGAGTTGTAAAGCATGTATTTGTACAAAATCCATTACACATTGAAGTTATAGTGGGTGATTTCAGTAATGTAGAATTAAGCAAAATAAAAATATATGGGCTTCAGGTTGCTTAGAATGGTTATTCTGGGATGCACTGTGAGGAACCAAATTCCCACCTCTGACTCCAAAGCCAGATACCTAACTTACTGAGCTATCCAGCCAGCTATATATCCCTACACAATGAAAAAAACACATAATAAAAACACAATTCAGAATTACAGTTCATACAAAATATTGTTAAAATTATATATGTTGATCTTAATTAAAATGATGTGAGAAATACAGTTTATATGAAGTATTAATTTTCTGTAAATTAAAAATTGTAATTTAATATCTTAGCAGTTTGCCCCTGTGTTAATTTATTGTAAAAAGAGCATGCATGGATTTCCCTTATATGAAAGCACTGACTGGAATCAGTGAGTAGGAAGCAAGCATTTTAAAAGATGCTGCTAGCTTCATTATGTCATTAAATGTACAGTGTCATACAAATTATCTTCCCTTGCTACGTACCTTGCTACCATTTCCTTTTCTTTATTTGAAGCATATCCACTACTGCTGAGTGGCTTAGATGGGGAAGAGAGGAAGTACAGGCAATGATTGGTAAAATACTGGTCAACTAGTGGTAGCAGAACCTAAGGAATATAGATTAAAAAAAGCAATGCACATAAACTAGAAGCATGATGATCATACAGAAATAGGGAGCAGGTTACACAGATTGAGAGAGACAACCGTTTCCCCAGGTCCATTGCTAGATCCGGAAACAGGAACATACATCTGTCAAGGACTATTGTTATTGTTAAGCAGAGGTAGGAAGGGAAGACTGGGTAGATGGGACCTCTCCTGCCCTGAATATTTTGAGTGCTGATGCTAAATTAGGGTCTACCTCCACAGAGGATCATGGAGACAAATTCCCTTATGAAAAGTAGCAATGGAAAAGACAATGAGAGGTATCTACTATAATGCAATCTGAGCTCCTCAACCCAGCCTGTAGCGTTGTGCTAACGAATGAAACTAGTTCATTTTTACAATATAACAGAAGCAAAGCTGCTCTCTAAAATGCCACTGTAACTACGACTGTCTGCACGCAGACCAGATTTAAGGGATGAAAACAAGGACAGATTATCTTTATTAGAATGCTAAAATATTACAAAGAGAATAGCTTTCAGCTCTTGTTTATCAGGTTGGTTACTCTCCCCCCAGCTCTGTAAATGCACAGCCTAATAAAAACTTCTATGTTATTTTGATGGTCTAAAAAAGGTGTCATCCACCCTTGTCTTCAGACTGTATGCAATCAACGGCTTCTGACTGCAGGCATAGTTAACAGTGAACCAAAATGTTATTTCATCTGAAACTGGGATCATCTTTTTTTAAGCACAGTTGAAAATGTGCTGAACAAAAAACCCAGACTCAGAAAATATGCACCACTCTACTCCCTTGCCCCCCCCCCAATTTTCCTATGAGGTTTGTTTGGCCCCAATATTGTCGTGGCTGTTCACATTTATAAAACCAAGTAGAATAAACACATGGGTGCATTTGTTCCCCCCTCTCCTTCAGGGTAAGTATATAAACTCACCCTTTCCTTATATGTTTGAAATTTCTCTCTGCACAAAGAGTGACTTTCTGAAAATAAGAGCCTCCTCTATGCACAGAAGCTTTCTGTGAGATCTAGAACACTTAAAAATCAGGGCTCCCAAAGTTAAGGAGATCCTCCACAAGCAGAGGAAGCTTCTGTCTTCAGAAAGTCATGCTTAACATGTGGAGAGGAATGGAAAGGATGACAATGGGCAAAGGGGGAGGGGACAAGGCTAGTGTACCCTCCCTCTTTGTGTGTTTATTCCAGTTGGATTTACAATGCTACATAGGACTTCTAGGAGGACTTGTGTTTTCCATAGCACAAGTTGCCAGCATTCCCCTGACACAGTCTCCTTGGATCATAGTCACCAGCTCTCCAAATCTCCTTCCTGCCACTTTTTCCCCTGTCAGTAAACACTTCTGTTGTCTCTAGGTCTAATGAGTCTTTGACTGACTTTTTGTATGGCTGTTACTCCTAGGCTCCACATTTGTTGCTCATGTAGATTGATGCTTTTCAAAGCCCTGCTTACCTGCTCCCTTCTGTGTTAGCCATGTTATTTTTTTAAACCAACCTCTCTGGCACTCTTCTCCAGATCATACCATCGTCCCATTCTTCACAGCTTCATCAACAGTTTCTCATTGCCTCTTCTTCCTTCTCTGTAATTTCCCATCACATTCTATACCTATTCTTACATTAAGGCTCTCCCTTTTTTGTCCCCTTGTTTACTTTGCATCTTTCATTCAATTTCCTTGGTCCACCACAATATCTCACTTGCCCTCCATAGCTCTTCACATAGCTTGCCTCCAAACATAACCAAAATGACCCCATCACAGAAGCAGAATAACCAAATTTTTAGATTCCGTTATGATAACTACATGACACCTGACCAGCAGCAATAGCTAGCTCTATTGCACCAAGTGTAATTCTTTATGCATTGCAACAAAAATAATCGAGACTTGTGCTAGTTCTGCTGAACTGGTGCTACTATCTCAACTGTTTCTGAACTTTGACCTACGCCTCTTGCATTACTTAAGTGTTAGATCCTCTGAATAAGAATGCACAAAAAACACTGATAGAAACAAAATGAACTGTAAAAACATTTAATGTGTAGTAGGATTTTTGTAATCATAATGAAAATGAAATAGAAAATTTGAGCATGCTGTAAAACATTCTATCCAAATGAAATTAAATTACTTAGACATTTAATTTTATCATAAAATGCTTACTAGCTACATAAATGATTTTCAGAATTTCCGCCTCCAAGCAATTTTTAGCATGCTCAATTTGCACTACTGGTTTTTTCTTGTCTCTTGTGATGAAAATCAGATAATACCTTGGATACACTATTCTCAAGAGAAGAACATATTACACTTCTGTATTATTCTGGAAGTTAAAATAGCTTATCAGCAAAAACACTCACTTTGGCAAAGAACTTGATCTCTTGATCATGAGGGGATTTCTCAGTTTTTCCACTGGTGACAATGGCTTCTGTGAAGACACAATGCAAATGTAAATAATATTGGATTAAAATAGTGTTATAAGCATCCATGGGCTTTTGAAATATAATAACCAACTTCGTATTTTAGGAGCTTATAGGAATCCCCAAGATATACGTACCCCTTTGCCTTCAGCAACTATCTCCATCTTAAACACACATGGCAAACGATCTGGCTGCTTGTGTAAACTGAACATGTTGTATGAGTAATATGTATGTGACTGCCCAACACTCACTTCTAAAGAACTCAGGGAATGGTGACAATGATACTACCTAAGCAGTTTGAAAGTAATTACTTGTTTATTAATAATGGACAGGTTCTTAAGTCATAAGGAGTTGATATATACATCAAAACTAGTGTATACATTTCTGAATAAAATTTAACAGCCATTCCTTTTCCCCCAACACTGCTTTGCTGATCAATTCAGAGCATTCCACAGAAGCTCCAGACTTCGCCAAATCTGGGAGATTTTGATCATGCAATGAGCCTCGTGGCGCAGTGGTTAAACCGCTGTACTGCAGCTAAAACTGTGCTCACGACCTGGGGTTCAAATCCCAGGTAGCCGGCTCAAGGCTGACTCAGCCTTCTATCCTTCTGAGGTCGGTAAAATGAGTACCCAGCTCGCTGGGGAGGGCAATGTGTAGCCTGCATAATTAAATTGTAAACCGCCCAGAGAGTGCTTGAAGCGCTATGGGGCGGTATATAAGCAGCACGCTTTGCTTTTTGCTTTGCTTCTGTGCCTTGTTTATAAAAGATGCTATTTGATTTGTGCCCAGACACAGCATTTGATACTTCTTTTTCAACAGTTGTCCCAATGTATCTAGACATCCTGTTTATAGACTATGAGACTGTTTGAAGTATGTGTTATATTCTTATTAAAGGATTAAGATTATTTATTTATTTATTTACTGTTCCATTTCTGGGCAGTTGTACAAATCAAAATCATCCCCTTAGTACCCACTCCGCCTCCAGAAACAAATAAAAAACCCAAACAAAAAACGAAACTTGAACTAAAGGCCAAATGTTGGTGACAATCTTCTAAAATACAAAAACAAAACAAACAAAAACAAACAAACAAAACACAACCCTAAACTATGGGTCAAAGCACTGCATACAGTAAGAATGTCCTTAAAGGCTTATTTGAACAGTTCAGTTTTTACTAGTTTCTTAAAAGTCTGGAGGGAGAAAGCTGGTTGAATCTCCAATGGGGGACCATTTCAGATGTCTGAGTTTGATGCTGCATAGAATCAGTAAAGCTATTCCCCTTCCCTCAAAAAAAACAAACACTAGTTTAATCAGAATTAATATTCCTGCTAACATTACGACAACCAGAACAGGATCCAACTCAAACCACCATGTTCCTCTAACCCTTTTCCCCACCAGACCTATTGACATTGCCACCAAGTGCTCCCATTGCAACAGGGAGGCCGCTGTGTCTCCCCTCTTTGGCATCTGGAATGCTGTTGTGACAAGAACTCAGGTGCCAGGGATTTCCACATGTTCAAGATATACACATTTAAATTCTCCAAAGGTTCTTGAGCAGCATCTACAACCATTGCCATCATTTCCCTATTCCTTCATCCCACTCTATCCTTACCTGCCTTACCATGGCAGAGGCAAAGGTAGCAACTGCAAATGTTCTTGATATCACTGTCACTCAAAGCAACATCCCTAAAAGGACAGTAATATTGACATAACCATCCTCATCACCATTCAACTCCAGGACTCCTTGTCAATCAGTGGGAAGTAATGTAGCCCATTTTATTCCCACCAGGGGCTCTGAAAAGTCTGTACAACATTTCTAATAAGTAAACAGCCATATGAGCAGAAAGAGCACTTTCAGCATTACTTACTTCCAGTAAGGGTGATACTGGAATGGAGTTTCCCAGAGGGAGATTGGTGCTAACAATGGCTACAGTGGCCACCTTTGCTCCCCTTTCTCCTGCCCAAGAAAGTATGGGAGCCCTTGCAGCAAGTCAGAGGAGGAAGCTAACAGAAGTGGGCATAGGACAAACACGTGGGCTCCCATTCTCACTTACCCATTCAACTTGCTACATGACTCTGGGCTAGTTACACACCATGTGCCTAAAGTACCTCACAGAGTTGTTGCAAGGAAAGAGTGGGATGAAGGAAAGTCATATATACAACTTTTAAACTCACTAGAGGAAAGGCATGATACTGATATAGCAAATAAATAAATAGCAAACAGTTCTACTCCATATAAGCATTAAGGCCCTGCTCGAATTGTACTACCTAGTGAAAGAATGAACAGGAGATCTAATTTGAATAGTACCAGTAGTACTAATATCAGTGTTAATATCAGTAGCAATACTAATAAAGGCAATTGGATTACTACCAAAATATTATACGTTTTCCTGATTAATAGTCTAAAAAACATTGGAGAAACCTACCTAAATGTGCAATGAATTCTTGAGCAGAATCAACATATTTGAGAATCTTCTTCAGAAATTTGTAAGCAAACCTTTTCTCCATGGATGAAGCATCCAACTCCAAATCATTTAAGCCTCTAGTAAGAAAATAATTGGAATAACATGGTTTGCAAATGTTATTACTTTAAACCAAACTTTAAACTTTATTTTAAGAAACAAAAATATCCTTTCAAACTATCCTTTTTTATAGCATCAGCTTCTACATGGATAAACTGAGTATTTTCTTAATCATGTTTTTAAATATCATTTGCTATTAGTCAAGTGCTAATATATTTGGCCAAATGTGGCAATCATGAATATCCTGAATGCTTTGAACATCTGTAATATCACTGATGTGAGTAATACCTCCAACAACGTACATATCTTCAAGCAACTTTCTCAAGCTGGAATGGGTTAATCTCATCATCATCTATAAAAGGCAGGGGACTGAACACTTAAGAGCTTTATTATACTTATTTCCTTTAGGTCATCTCACTGTTCTGTCTCCTACTTTGCTTTCCTTTTTCTGGGCATGACTCCAATGGGAAATCTTCCAGTAAGGCTACCAAAGTGAGAAAGAGCTCAGAAAATCTTCTGGTACCCTTAACTTTCAAACCTGCTTGGATTCCTGAGGATGATTGGGTTCTACTTTTGATCTCTTCCGGGAACCATCTGGAGACCTGGGCTTTTTCACTCCCTGCTGCCTCCTCCTCACAGTGAGCATTTGCCTCCACAGCAGAGCTTAATTCTCTGGCTGAGGCACAGCCAAATTCTCAGCTGAGGCACTGAAATCTGCGAAAAATGGAACAGCTCTCTGATGGCAAAAATCTCTTCAGGCAACTGTGAAAACAGTGGCAGGAAGATTCTGGAAGCCTCAGAGCTTATTTTCTAAGATTGCCACAGCAAATCTTCTACAAACCCCTCATAGCAGGCAGGCAGCCATTTTGGCTTCTCCTCTTTTGCCTCCTTCCCACTATTTCCTCCATTCACCCATTCCCTCCCCTTCTATGTTCCCAGTGCCTATGTCTCTACCTATGTTTAATAAGGAATCTTTCATTAACAAAGTCAAGGCTGCTATGAGGGGAAAACTTCTTGGCCAATAAGATTCCCTCCCTTCTCCCTCCAAAAATCCTCAAGGGGCCAAGTCTTATCACTCAAAGGCTTACATTACAAACAGTGACAGTACACAAAGCAATGGCCTCATGCTGCCCAGCCTATACAGTATCTCCTCAGTTGTCTTCTAATGTTTGTTTAGCCTCACCAACTAAATCTCTTTTGTTATAACCACAAAAGAGCAACCTCTGATGTTTCTAAAGTTGCCTTTTTGTGGCTATAGCAAACCCCGGCACTAATCGGTTTGCTATAACGTCTAGCTATTGTACCCTCCAGTTTGTCTGGCCTGCCTCAGATGAGAGGGAGTGTTAAGGTACAGAACAAGAGGAGTCTATCATGGCCAATTTTTTTAACACTGATTATTTTGTCCCTCTTCTATCTGGAGTGATTGCCACTCCAGGGCTCCAGCAGACTATCTATCTATCTATCTATCTATCTATCTATCTATCTATCTATCTATCTATCTATCTATCAATCT